CAAAATGTAAAATCTAATACTTTACACATCATGGCCAAAGAAGCTCGCCTTTACTAAGGTTACACTGAAACTGCGGCTTATAACAAAGAGCGGTAATGCGCTTGTAGTCATCGCGAGAATCCTGCTCTGCCTGCTCATATATTGGATCGGCTGACTCGCCTGCTTTTCCAACTAACACAGAAAAATTAAGATCAGCTCATAACGAGACTGAGCATTTAAAATGACACAAACTGAAACTAAAACTTTTTAATAGGGATGGACGATATATCTGCGGCCATATCGTTATCGGCCGATAAATGTTATTTTTAAGATTATCGTTATCGATCCGATGTCTAAATTAGGCCGATATCTTTAAGCCGATAAATTATGTGATTGTACAGAACGTTGTGGGCGGAACATGTTCAGACTTGCCCAGTGCACTATTATGGAGCTCTCCCCACATTGTTCATTCCTTCAAAGTCCGTCCTTTCTTCACATGGTATTGCTGTGCGTTAATAACTCAGTAAGTAACCATGTTCCTTATCATTGTAGATATGTTTGATTGAGTGTCATTGTGTATTTTGCTTCGAATCGCCTTAGGAAAAATATTAAATGTTTCCTGCTCTGTCTTTTTGTTGTGTTAGAGATAGCAGGGGAGATTCACTTATTTCTCCAGGGCCGAATAATATTAGTTTCTTGGTGAACCTTCTAAAATTTGTTTCTTCCCTTCTCTTTGAATGAACGAGGACACATGTAACTTGGTCCAGTCATCACTGAAAACAGTCTCATTGTGAAAAAAACACTCCTCTAATCTGTGTCTCCCTCTCCGCATCACACACACACACACCTAACCCCTGCACACATGCTAAACAACAACTCATTGGGCTGTTTGTAGTCTAATATGATTATTTGTTATTATCAACACGTTGCTTGCCGTGTGTTGTTGATGTATGATTGTATTCAGTTGATTGTAGTATTCATATTGATTATAACGAGCGCACGTGAGAGCTGTCACCGCGCACACAAACACACACACAACCACGCACACACACACACAGATCTGACAACCTTCAATACAGCAGCACGGGGGAGAGCCTAGGTGCACCAACATTGAATCCAGCATAAACTCGCCGCACATTCTGTCTTTATATTATGCTCTGCGTTTGTCATAAAGTCATCTGTGCTCAATGATCAGGTGCTGAACCAAAATCTGACTCCGAGGGCATCTGTTGCCACGGTTGAGTGAAACTCACAGCGGTTTTTAAGAAACATTTCATCAATAATTTTCCCCGCAATTGACAGCAAGAACGAAGACAGAAGCGTTGGCTGATTGACAAGCACTGCAGCACCTGTTCAAAAGAATCTAAAACGCCAAATAGGATGAATCTATGTATCTAGCTTTTCGCTTGTACGGTGGCTTAGAACTGTCAAAACACCTCTAAAAATGGCCTTTTCGGACATGACATATTTGTACACATGTACATCACTGTAACACGTTTTATTCAAAAACATTTGAGCTGGTTTCAGTCCTTAGCTCTATCATTTTCATCTATTTAAAATATATTTAACTTGCTTGTTAATTAAATTCCATTTTGTTATTTAACCTATTATTTTTATGCAACAGTCAAGTTGCATGTTAATTTGCTATGAAGAAAATGAAATGTATTTTTATTTGTTTGAAATCGTGAATATAGGTCTTTTTTGCTCTGAGTATAGACTATTCAGTCCATAAGAGCAGTTCAATCTTTTATGAAGTTTGCTGTATAAAAATATAACATTTTTAAGTATTTATAATTATCGGCCTATATATATATATATATTTATATATATATATATATATATATATATATATATATATATATATATATATATATATATATATATATATATATATATATATATATATATATATATATATCGGCTATCGGACTCCAAGTCTGAAGAATTATCGGTTATCGGTATCGGCCAAAAAATCCATATCGGTGCATCCCTACATTTAAAGATTGATAGAAGTGAGACTTTTCTTACTTTCTTTTGTCCATTCTTTCTTGAGATGTATATGTTTTGCTATTTAGTTACTGGTGACTGCTTTGCAGCTTTCAGCATTGAATTGAATGATTTATAATAATCTTTTATTTGTTTTGTAGCAGAAATATTATTTATTAAATTGACATGCATATAAAAACAATAGTGCAAAATAATTATTTCTTACTGCAATGCTTCATTTTTGTTTGATGCAAAACATAAATTTGTTTTTCATAAAGTAACAGACTTTTACAGCAGATAACTTACATGACAGCTTGCAACACATGGTACGTTTACCACATTATTCCAGCAGCAGCACGACTATCAAGGCAGGGCATTTCCGCAGGCACCACAGAAACATACTGTGAAACCGACAAGTGTAACGCAAACTACTCTCCCGCCTTCATTTGGAATAAAACTTTCAAGTAACTCAACACATGCAAAGGCAATTACAAGCGCAGTAGGAGTATTTATAGCCGCGGACATGCGACCATACTCAGGGGTAGAAAACTCAGGTTTCAGGCATTTAATTAGAGTGCTAGAACCGCGTTATGAAATCCCAAGTAAAACGCATCTCACAGCTACGGTGAGACCCTCCATGTACAGTAATGTGAATGAGAAAGTTATTAAAGGCCTTAGCAGTGCATATTTAGTAGCCTTGACTACAGATTGCTGGACCTACAGAGCAACACAATATTGTTATATTGCATAAAATTCTTAAAATGGCAAATCGTGCTTTCAATTTTTATTTCTTTTTTTTTTAAATTGAGAATCAAATTGAACCATCACTTTACAATCGAAAATTTAATTGAATCAAGGATTTGCAGGATCGTGACACCCTTACTGTTAAACATCATTTGGGATTCTAAATAAGTATCTAAATATCACTGTTTGGCCATTGTGGCAGCACGGTGGCGCAGTAGGTAGCCCAATCACCTCGCAGCAAGAAAGTCGCTGCTTCAAGCTCTAACTGGGTCAGTTGGCGTTCCTGTGTGGAGTTTGCATGTTCTCCCCGTGTTTGTGTTGATTTCCTCTAGGTGCTCCCCCACTAGACCAAAGACATGTATAGGCGAATTTGGTAGGCTAAATTGTTCATAGCGTATGGGCCCTATCATACACCCGGCGCAATGTGGCGCAAGGCCTGAAGCAATTGTTATTTGCTACTTTCAGCTCGGCGCAAGGGTCATTTTGAGGTGTTGCGCCACGCTGTTTAAATAGCAAATGCATTTACACTCATATGTGCGCCCATAGGCGTTCCGGTCTAAAAAAGCAGGCGTGTTGCTATTTTGAGAAACTGTAATAGTCTGTTCTTTAGACCAGAACAAACCCGGTCTAAAGTCTGGCGCAGAGCGCGTTAGCTTACACACTGCTTACACACAAGATGTAGAGCAATACGCAAATATCTTTACATATGAAAAAGAATTAAAATATTAAGGATATATATGTATATATATATATATATATATATATATATATATATATATATATATGTGTGTGTGTGTGTGTGTGTGTGTGTGTGTGTGTGTGTGTGTGTGTGTTTGTGTGTGTGTGTGATATAATAAGGATATATATAGGATATAAATATAAATAATTAAAATATTACAAAACATATTTTCTAGCCTACATGAATTTAAAAACCACTGCCTTGAATCCTTCATCTCGGGAGGCTTTTTCAGCTCATTCAATTTGCTTTTGTCTAATATTATTATTATTATTATTGTTGTTATTATTATTAGCAGTATTATTTATTATATCCATATTTATATTTGTTTTATTAAAAACAAGCTTAGATTTGTCCACCTGTCAGGTTTTAGACCATATGGGGCATTGCAGGTGTAATAACTGAGTATTTTGAACACACTTCGTTGTTATTGTTCATTTATTAGTTTGCTGGAAATTAGAACTGAATTTAGAAATAGTTTTGAAACAAATCTTTGCCCTTAACTAACGAAATTAATTATTTATTGGCTAATTGATGTCTGTGCAAAAAAGTTTCCCTATCTACGAGAGCAAAAGTGAAAGTGAACTTACTTTACGTCATGTGCACTTATGACGTGCAAATGCACTTATGGCGCGATGCAGCTGGCTCTTAAAGGGAATGGGAGATGAGACTCTGATTGGTTTATTCTCAAAACACACCTATAACTTATTAAGAAAATAAACTCAACCCTTTTAGACCATGCGCCATGGCGCAAAGCGGATTTTCCCGTCCTCATATTAGCACATAAGGATTCTGACACGCCCTGATTGCATTTGCGCCCTGCGCTTTCTGTTTTGCAAATGGACCGTCAAAATAGAGCCCTATGTGTGTGAATGAGAGGATATGAATGTTTCCCAGTGATGGGTGGCAGCTGAAAGGGTATCCACTGCATAAAACATATGCCAGATAAGTTGGCAGTTCATTACACTGTGGTGATCCCAGATTAATAAAGGGGCTAAGCTGAAAAGAAAATGAATGAATGGATATTTGGCCATTGTGCTTAGACACTCTGCAAACATGCCTTTTACTGGCTTAAATAATGTCATTGTTCTTTTCAATTCTAAAACAATAATGATGACATTTGTATAAGCATTAACATACATATGGTATTATCACATCCATTTGATATAAAGGGGAAAAAACGTTGTATGTCAGTCTGCATTGTATGTATCCTACAGTGTTTCAAGAAAGAGAGAAGGTAAAAAAGCAATATGTCTTTACACACTATGCATTTTAGTCAAGTCAGAATTTTGATAGAATCTTGTTTTGTCCTGAAGAGATCCTGCAGATGTTTTTGCAACAGCACAAAATTAAAATAATTCAAAAAGGTGAAATCCTTCAAATAATGGTGGTCCTACAATATTTTCAAAAAATTAGGTTCATGATGCACTTTGGTCTGCACTGGAAATGTTGCACATTGTACTAACTGAACTTAAAAGGTGTTGAAATTGATACATATTTTGTCATGTGCGGGAGCTATCCATTGCTTATATTGTTTGTGTGTGCTTGCATGTAGAAACCAAAGAAGGCAGCATCTGATGATGAAGACGATGATGATGATGATGAAACGGGCTTTAACAGCTTTAGCCACCTGGACTCAGGAAGAGATCGTTCTGGTCGAGCCAAGAAAGAAGTAAAATACTTTGCAGAATCTGATAATGATGATGACGATGACATGTTTGACTAAAACACAAACCCACATATACACACTCTTGGTCCAGAAAACTGATTGGTTCAGAACAAGTTTCTCTGCCAGCAGAACTTTGTACATTTACCCATTTTACCATTTTGTTTTTTCTTCAATTGTGATGTTGAATTCTTTCTACAGTGTAGCTGTTTTACTCTTTTTATTATTGTTATTGCTATATTATTATTATTGGTATTATACATTGACAATGTTTTTTAATCATTGAATTGTATTTGTCTTGAGCTTTTAGAAATTTAGACTGCTGTGCTTTAGCACCTTTTAATGGTTGAAAGTTAGAGATGAATTATCTTTTTGAGACGACTTGGAAATAAACATGAAATGTCAATTATTTTTTGGTCACTGAAACATTTTTTTCACAATTTAGTAGTACTGCTGCATACAGAAACAGGATGATAAATGGGACAGTACAGCTTCTGCTCATTTAGACAGCAATTTTTTCTTTTTTTTTCAGAATTGATGTCAAAGAACTAACTTAACAATGCCAATGAAACTGACATCAAAATGTTGACAGTGATTGTGTTGCTACCATAACTTTCAGTGTGGGATACACTTTCTTTTTTTATCCAGTTACCACTGACACTGTTGTCCGAAATAAATTTCAAATTATGTTACAGCTTTGTGATAGAACAGTGGAGATATGACAGGAAATATGTGGTAGAAACAGGAATAGGATCAGTGAAAGACCACATGGATCATGGATGGTTGCAGCTGCATTATGTGTCAACACACTTAACCATGAGGCTGTCCAGTTTGACTTGTCTCTTTGTTTTAAACTAATTGCATAATAAAAGAATTAGTCTCTGACATTTTCAATAATGTTTTGTGAATTTGAAATACTTATTTAAACATGTAAATATTTTGGGAATCACAAATTTCTTTGGAAAGTTAGTTTAAGTATTATTTTAGGCTAATTTATACTTTATCAACTTTATTAAAAAATACTCGGAATTATAGGTAGAATTTGTGATATGAAAATGCGGTGTCTTGTGTTTATTGTGCCTGCTTTTGGTGGACGTTGTAACTCATGTGTTTAATTTATATTAAGCCTTTATATTCTGCAGTATCAAGGCCGTGGCCAGTTGAATGAGAGGTATCTGTAGCTTGCATGTAGCATGTAGCTGTCCTTAGCGAATTCCAGGCACTGAACTTGCCACATACAGGTGCATTTTAATAAATTATCATTTATTTTAAAAAAGAGAAACACTTATATAGATTCATGACACACAGACTAATAACATATGCTGTTTATTTGGATGATTATCCCTTAATGAAAACCCAAAATCCAGTATCTTTGAAAAGTAGAGTATTTTTGAAGAACAGGATTTTTAACAGAAATTTCGGACTACTGACAACTATGAACATTTTAAGCACTCAATTCTTGATCAGGGATATTTCTTGCACAGATTACTCCAGCAAGCATGAGATGATCAATCTGTGTTATGAAGGCCAGATTACTCTGATTGATAGCAGCCTTCAACTCTTCTGTTGTGTTGGACCTCCTGTTTCTCATCTTCCACTTCACAATACCCTACAGATTATCTATTACTTTAGTTTTAGGTGAGATGAGTTTGAGTTAGCAAACTGCTGCTAATAATAAGTCACTGATGCTATATAATAATACATAATAATAATTTATATTTAATAAATAACCAGGGCGCCATGGTGGCGCAGTGGGTAGCGCAATCGTCTCACAACAAGAAGGTCTCTGGTTCTAGCCTAGGCTGGGCCAGTTGGCACTTCTGTGTGGACTTTACATGTTCTTCCTGTGTGTTTCCTCCGGGTGCTCCGGTTTACCCATAAGCCAAAAGACATGCGCTATAGTTGAATTGGGTGGGCTAAATTGTACGTAGTGTATGTGTGTGTATGAGTGTTTCCCAGTGATGGTTTGCAGCTGGAAGGGCATCCGCTGGGTAAAAACATATGCTGGATGGAAGTTGGGGGTTCATACCGCTGTGGCAACCCCAGATTAAAAAAAGGACTAAGCTGAAAAGAAAATTAATGAATGAATTTAATAACCAGTGGTTGGACTAGGCATTGCAGGAGGGTTTAAAAAAGACATTCGAAGTCAGTCACTTGCCGAATCTCGCTGTTTTGCCACCTGCAAACATCACCAATGGCCGAGATCCCGTTTGTGTTTTTTATCTCCAGCCAAACTAAAATAAATGACACTTTCTCTAGAATAAAAACTATTATAGGAAATACTGTAAAAATGTCCTTAGTCTGTAAAGCATACCTTTTGACTTCACATACATATGTGTTTTGTTTACTGCATTTCTGCCTGACCCCCTTTCTCTTCTTAGATGAAATCACACAAAGATGAATCATAATGTCAAAACAGTCTGATTATTGTATGTATCTGTGTTTGTATATTTTATTAAATTGACTTTCATAGAATAACATTGCATGAAAATTAGTCTACAAAATTCACACAAACATCCAAAAACTGAAAAGGACAACAAACAGACTTTACAAACTTTTAATTAAGTAATTAATAAAATACAATACATGCACAGCCTAATCATTTATTTGTAATTTAAAACATTTAGTTATATTATTCATTCATTCATTCATTTTCTTGTCGGCTTAGTCCCTTTATTTATCCGTTTGCGATCATCACTCGTTTGCGGTGTGGAAATATAAATTTATATCATCTAATTTCAAATTAACAATAATCTACGTATAACTAAAAAGTTATATTCTCTGGTTTTTAATTATATTATTTCATTGACATGCCAGCTTGGAGGGTTATTTAACCTTTGCCTTGCTGACTACAGGCTAAGCCAAAGTGATGCAATTATCAGTTTCACAGCATGGGGTGTCTATTGTTTTCTCTTTTCAATCAAATGGTCAGGCGGTTTCTGTCTCCAGAACATGATGAGATTAGACCAGAAAAAGCAGTTTACGCTGCTGACTCCAACTCTTAATTTGCATGCTTTGTTTAGCCATGTCCCCTCCTCCTAACAGGACAATATAGACAGGACATCTTTGTCTTAATCAGACTATTTGCAGACTTGTGTGAGACTTGTGAAAGAACTTGCAGACTGCGGACCTCTAGTAGGCTCTTGCAGACACATGGACATCTTAAAGACGCTGTATGACTGCAGATTAACCAACACGTCTCAATAAAGGAATCCTGCTTGTTTCGAGTCTCCTGGACTGGGTTCTCTCTTCTTTTTCGCTCATTTATTTTTTTTTTTCAACAACTTGGTGCCGTGACCCGGATAGAGACTGAAATCATTAAATTCTCAACAATTTGCCACAAAAGACTGAAATCTACCTGAAATTCTACTTGAACCATCAAGATCAAGGAAACTTCTTCAGACGGAATCTTCAGCTCAACGGCAATTTGAAGTCACTCAGCGGACGTCACAAATTCTCAACTATTTGCTGACTGCAACCCTGATGAACATTGAAGCTACTTGAATACAAAGATCAGATCAATCCAGACTGAATCTTTTCAGCTCAACCTCGATTTGGTGAGTTTCATTCTATCAAAAGAACCATACAGACCAGTCTATACACATGGTTATTCTCTGCTCCATCAGAGAAAAGTTAACAAACAGCTGCAGGGTTTGTTTAACAAAAAGCTATCCTCTATTTCAATAGAGAAGTAACAGTTTATCCTCTGTTCAGACAGAGAAGTAAAGCCTTACGTGCTATTTTCTTTTAAAAAGTTATCCTCTTTTCAGAGAAGTTAAGCCTTATGCGCTATTTTCTTTTCTTTTATTTTGTTTTCCCTCTGTTCAACCAGAGAAGTTTACGTTTAGCTTTACAAGCTAATTGATGTTATCTCTTGTTCAGGCAGGAAGTTTTAGCAACATGTGCTAATATTGTTACCCTCTGTTTCGCCAGAGAAGAAATTACTACACTTTTATCTGAAAAGTTTTAGTATTTTTACTTTGTGATAATAAGCTCACAAAATGTTCAGACAGAATACAAGACTGATCACTACAACTGAAAAAGGTAGTTTAACAACTCCTTTATTGTCAGATCAGGATTTCAAATCGCTGCTAAGACAGCACATGGACTCAATAACAGAGTCAGTCAGGCTAAATTTGACAAAGAAATTTAGCATTGACCCAGATAATGTTTGGACATTAGATGAATGCAAGAAAGTGCTTGATGCATGCATTCGCAAAAACAATGTAAAAGGCATTATCTGCTGCTACAGAGAATTCAGTTTATCTCGAGCTAAACAACAAGCTCAAGCTAAATCAGAATTAGAGAAACAGATCCAAGAACTTCATGCTAAGATAACCTCATTAACAAAACAACTGAACCTCAAGAAATCAAAAACTGACATTGAGGAGGTTAGTCAGCCTGATAATAAGCATCCTGACTTACAAATTGTCTCTGAAACAGACATTTCCATCCAGTCAGATAGCGATTTACCTATAGGCTCAGTAGAGGTTTGTGGTGCCAGAAGATCTAAGAGAACTGAGAGTTCACACAACAACACTTCTGTTGTTCAAATTCAATCAGTTTCCAGAACACTAGGACCTAGAGAAATAGATAGACTGTCTCAAAGCTTACCATCAGCACGCACAAATTTTTCAGAGTTTAGCAGAGCACTAATCAGCAAAATGCGTCTTTATGACATGACATTAACAGAAGTCACCCAGCTAATGTCTCAAATTCTCACTGAATCTGAATCCAACAGTTTTGAGCATACTGTGACCTCTAAATTACAACATGCCAGTAAGGATGATTTGAGAGAGGGTGTTTTGAAAGCTCTAAAGAACATTGTTGGCCCAAAGATCGACTGGTCAAAAGTGACTTGTTGTGTGCAAAGGAAAGATGAATCTGTGAATGAATTCACTGAGAGATTTTGTCAATCAGCCATAACTTACAGTGGATTAGCTGATAATTCGGACAGTGTGCTAAATGATAAGGGACCCCTAGTCCGCATCTGGTCAGATGGCCTCGCAACTGAATACAGACAAGCTTTGCCATTTCTTAATATCACCTGGTCTTCCACCACTCTCAGAAATAATATGAACAGTTTAGCTTTGTGGGAAAGAGACTCTTACATCAAAGACAGAGTCAGATTTGAAGCAGCTGCCACTAAGGTCAACACAGAAAAGACATCAAATCACAAATGTCTTAGGAAAAATATCTGTTGTCATTACTGTGGTAAAAAAGGACATTGGATGAGGGAATGTAGAAAGAATAAAAAGAACTTTAAAGAGATGAACAAAAAAGAATTATTCTATTGTCTTTTTAAAAAAGAATAATAGAAACTTCTTCCTTTGTATTAGGGAACTCTGCTTAAGTCCACTTACAGCCTTAAATGTGTTTAACACATATTTTCAATCACTACCCATTCAA